TCCAAGTAAAGACTGTGCCGAACACCCAGCTGGCCAGACACCCTCAGCCAGTTAAGCCGTAACACACCAAGTGGCAGCCCGCTTCAAAGTGAACCTAGCCTGGCACCGCAATTGTTCATTGCACGCGCGTTCGTGCGAGTGTGAGTGTGGCCTTTTTTTCAACAGTTTTATTTAACTTCACTTGTGTTTGTCGTGGTCAAATGTTGTAATCAAAAGTTAGTCAACTTCCTGTGGTGCAATCAATTCCAAATGTTGCACGTGTACTCAGATCCGGTAAAATTGCATGCCTGTATCAAAATTGGCATCAATTCATCAATCAATTGCCTCCTTTCAAGCAATTACAATTTTTGTATGGACGGCTTATTAGTGATATATTTGTGTGTAGGTCAAAAACGTTGCGGTCCCCAAACTGTGGAATCGGCTCGCACAAAACACAGGCGCCGCGTGTCTCAGGCGCCATTGACGTACATCTCGACCGCGAGTTAAACGAAGTTGTTAATTAAACCGTTGTTTGAAAAAAACTTTTTTTACGGAGTTTATTTTCTTTTGTGGCAGCCACGCGACAAATCCACGCGACTCTCAAAAAGGGCACTCTGGCCGGGCACCAGCGCCCCGCGGTGCCGCTGATGAGTCGGGTGACGGCGCGCAAAGGGGAGATGGAAGTGGCGTCTAATCTGTCTCCAGCACTCTCCTTGCGACTTGCGGCACGCGGAAACAAGAAGACAGAAATCATGTCGGTGGGGTGGGGGGCAAGGGGGGGGGGGGGGTGCCTGCACTGGGCCATCAAGTTCCTCAAATAGGACCGACGCATCCCTAAAAAAAACGGTCCACGTATGGTCGAGATGTTCTCGAGGTTGAGGTTTCAGACACTCAACTAAAAACTAGCTGCGTTGATCTGAACAAGAAATGAGCCGAGGCCTGGTTGTTGATAGAAGATAGGCTTTGAGTCGGCGGTGTAGGAGCTCTCCAGGAGAGAGGACGCATCACGTCATACGTCGATTTAAGGTCACTGTGTTGTTATTGACAAACGTGTGAAGTTTGTGTTGTTGTTGTTTATTGTCGTTAATTTATCTTTGTGCACCCCTGCCAAACGTAGCAGCAGCATCCCCACCACGTGGTTTGTTATAAAGTGGAGAGGATTTGACTTTGTTCACGATTGTTTTGTTTTTCTTCTTCGGTGGAGCGGTGGCGCAGTGGTTAACACACTGCGTGAAGAACTCGCTCGTGGCTAACGTCAGCGTGGAGCGAACTCGAAACCAGTTTTGGGATCCCACCCTCGCCAAGATTCCCGCCTATAACCCCAACAGACTCTTGGGGAAAAGTGCCGTTAGCGAGCATCTATGACGGCTGACACTGCACACGAGGGGTTGGGTGGCCAGCACCACGCTCGGCCGCCTTTGTCTCTCTAGTGGCGATGTTTTTACGCACCGCACGGGGTACTCATTTGAGGCTGAGTCGGACCGAGAGGAAGCGCAGGACCGGTTCAGATAATCGTCACCGGCGTTGGCCGTGAGCGAGAAATTCGCAGCTTGCTCGCTCGCAACGCTCACTCACTGTTAAACCCACATGAACCATCGATCGTGTCTCAGTTTCATCATCCCAGCAGTTCCTCTTGCAGTCGCTCAGCGTAATCTCAGGAAACGTGAACATGGAACAAAGTAATGCGGAGCAGTTAAAATGGAGAAGTGTGCGACAGTGCATGCTGGGAATTACACTGCCGAGCGTATTAACGTGGGCGCCGCGGTGGCGAGATGTGAACTACCTCGCCAGGTATACAGCAAGTCGTGGGTTCTATCCCGACCCTGACGCCTGTTGCATCTTTGGAGTTTTCGTGTAATCTCCCTCTCTCTCCCCGTGGTCGCGTAGATTTTTTTCTCTGGTTTCTCCGGGTTTTCACCTCCACATTTCAAAATGTGCTGCTATAAATTTCCACGTAATAAGCCACTTCATTGGGCTATAGTTTGTGGCCAAGTCGCTTCTGAAAAAGAGCTATATAGCTCAGTGGTCTTCACCTGATAAAAGAAATAAAATAGTTTAACTTGATGCATTGCACTTCTTGTTGCGACTGTCATATTGGATATCCTCGTTGCCATCACCTCCGATGAGCATGGTTGGCTATGCACGGTGCGATAGAAGTTCAACATACATACAACATACATACAACATACATGTGGAACTTCCATCATTGGTTCAGAGCCGCCGACAGAAATGAGCACCCGCTCTTTGCTCAAAACTGAGCAGGCATTTTTCGATTGAAAGCTTTCGTGACTGCAGGGATTCATCTTCTTGGTTCTTTCGGTAAAGTCACGTAGAAGGAAAATAATAAAATAATAAATAATAATAATGAAAAAATGTATAATAATAAAAAGAAACGTCGTGAGAATTATTTTGTTATGTTTTATTTTTATTATTTTATTATTTCCCTTCTACGTGACTTTACCGAAAGAACCAAGAAGATGAGTAGGCATTCTGTGTGACTTTGTAAGTTATACACTGTTTGCATCAATAGCTCTGAATCAGCTTGAGATTCCCGTAAATCACGTGACTTGTGTGTGGCCACCCCCACTCTGAATCCCCCCCCCCCCTCTCTCCATACCGCCCACTGTGAAAACAGACGCCGCTTCTCTATGCAGCTCACTTCTGCATGCCTCTTCCTTCTCTCTTCCCCTCCCCCCTTCTCCAATCATCATCGTCATCATCATCATAATCTCTCATCATCACCGACATCTCGGCACGGCCATTCCTTCTTTTTTCTTCAAACGTCGCGCTCCTTCTTCTTGGTTCTTTCGGTAAAGTAACGTAGAATTGAAATAATAAAATAATAAAAATAAAGCATAATAAAATAATTCTCACGACGTTTCGGCCACAACGCAAGTAGCCGTCCTCAGGTGGAGAACAGGTCTGTCGCGAGTTCGTATCGCCTGTTATTTGTGACTTTCTGACCCGTCCCTACTGGGCGTCTTTGGAAGAAGAAAAAATTAACCCGTAAAAAAAGTTTTTCACTAAAAATCCTTTATATGCGTGGCATCTGTTTTATTTTATTATTCATTTCTGTTTTTCTTGAGTAAGAGATTCATTTTTATCACATTGGTATTTTAAATTAAATATGAATTTATTTTTTTCCTAAAAAGTGGAAAATGTAGGAAATTTTTTTTCACGAAAATAAATTGTCACGCACAACGAGTCTGTGTGCAAAATGTCAGCTCGATTGGATCACGGGAAGTGGGTTAAAAAACGATCGAAAGATTTGCACGGTCGTAAGCGCGCAAGCAAGCAAGTGAACTTAAAGGATTTAAAAAGAGCTTCTCCGCTCGTCGGATTTCTCCAGGATAAATAAACAGCTTGCTCCAACTTGCTCTCTTGTCCGTCTTGGCGGTGTGCCACGGGTGAAAGGTTTCCTATTATGAGAATCATCGTCATCGTTATTATTGCTGTCGAGAGACAAGGTACCACGTGCGTTCGGAAAGAGAGAGTGAGAACGAAGGAAAACGTTATAGTAGTCACCAGAGGTGTGGACTCGAGTCATGTGACTTGGACTCGAGTCAGACTCGAGTCATGAATTTGATGACTTCAGACTCGACTTGGACTTGCATAACAATGACTTTGTCCCACCTCTGAGCTGGTGTGGACTCGAGTCATGTGACTTGGACTCGAGTCAGACTCGAGTCATGAATTTGATGACTTCAGACTCGACTTGGACTTGCATAACAATGACTTTGTCCCACCTCTGAGGTGTGGACTCGAGTCATGTGACTTGGACTCGAGTCAGACTCGAGTCATGAATTTGATGACTTCAGACTCGACTTGGACTTGCATAACAATGACTTTGTCCCACCTCTGGTAGTCACCAGACTAAAAACGAGTCCGATCAAGAAGGACGCTGCTGGGATGGAAGTGGAGTGAAGGATGTGGGCGAGAGAGTAATTTCACCATATTCAGTGCAGCTTTTGTCATGACCGTGGCTCAGAGTCACGTGCCAACCTCCTGGTTTTGGCAGCGCCACGGATTTTTGTTGTTACAACACTGGACTGTATTTTCAGTGAGACATGAAGCCCCGATCTGGGTCTTCTCGGAGAGTGTGGCTGGGTTGTGTGGGAGACGGGATCTGCGTTGATCTGAACAAGAAATTATCCGAGACCTGGTTGTTTGTAGAAGAGAGGCTTTGAGTCGGCGGTGTGGGAGCTCTCCACGAGAGAGGAGGCATTACGCCCAGGCGAGATGAGCTAAACATTTCTTTTTATTTTAGCAGGTAAAGCCCACCGAGCTAGATAGCTCTTTTTCAGAAGCGACCTGGCCACAATTGATAGCTCAACGAAGTCGCTAATCGCGTGGGAATTTACAGCAGCAGTCAACTACTCTAAACGCATGTGGATTCTAAATGTGTAGGGGGGGGGAAACCGGAGGACGCGGAGAAAAATCCACGTGACCACGGGGAGAGAGGACATGCAAACTCCAAAATCTACAAACAGGCGTCAGGGTCTATATTGAGCCCACGACCTCCTGTTGACCAGGCGAAATAGTTAACATCTCGCCACAGTGGCGCCCAGATCAGTGCCAAGGGACGAGACTGGTCACGGGATGGCAACCCGATGAACACTCCTGACAGGACGCCCGCCAGCTCACTCGATGTACGAGTGAACTACGTGACACCATCGACGATGACCTGCTCACTGATGGGATGAAGGCTCCTCCGAGCCGCCTCCATGCCCCACAGTCTCGCGACAGAACGATCCACGAGATGATTGCATCGCTCCGTCTCCCCCGTGGTGGTGGTGGTGAGACAGAGGATCTGGGTTCCGCCGCTATTTTATGGTGGACACCACTGCTCTTGCCATGGCGTGGCCGTCGTGCTCTCGAAAATCCGTCCCTGCAGTGCCGTCAGTGGGGAGCGCGACAAGACGCGTCTCGCGACTCGTACGGCAATGCGTGTCAAGTGACGCGATCGCCACACAGCGAGGAGACGTGCGCACACACACAGACAACACGGTTACGACCTTCGGTGCGGCGCAACAAATTTATTCACGAGAAGCAAAGACGCAGACAGCAACAACAGCAACACTAAACACAGCCTTTGACCAGGTTCATCATCATCACCATCATCATCATCACGATCCATGGGCATCTAGGCCGTCGGTGTCGACTGGACGAGACGCTCACGTGGTATGACACTCTGGCACCAATCTCTGATGTCGTCGTCGTCAAGCCGTCCTCTGCGAGGTCTTCCTCTCTTTCCGATTCCTTCCGTTTTTCCGAACAACATCAACAACAACAAAACACACTTTACATTCTCCTGTTGCTGTCCATCCTACATATGTGTTCACGTAACACGCATGTAGGATGGAGAGGCGATCTGGGTCAGCGGACGAGACGAGGTATGGGTCAACGGAAGAGAGAATTGGGGGGGGGGGGGGTGGGTCACCAGCGCCACCCTCCCCCATCCCCCCCTTCCTCGCCCCCGCCCCCCCTCCCCCACCCGCTCACGCGAGCTTGAGCATCTCCTGCACCATGACGCCGACGCCGTCGTACACGTGGTGGATGGGCGCCGTGGCGCACATGAATGCGCTCGTGGTCACGATCTTCAGCTTGGCATCCACGTGCGCCTCGCCCACGTCCGTGCACACGTGCGTGCAGCCCAGCTCGCGGATGGCGGCGGCCGTGCCCGCGTAGGGGAACCTGGCGCACGCGGGAGTGGGAGACGCGGTGAGACGGGGGGAGGACGCGCGTGTGTGTGTACGTGTGTGTCTACACACGTACACACACACACACACGTCTAGTGGCACATGTTTGTTCACATAGACTTATATAGGAGTAGGTGCGAGTGTTTCATCTATGGTCTATCCACTGCTGGGTGAAGGCCGCTCAAAGCCGTTGCTATCGCAATACCCTCCTCACCTGCACCAGCCCCTCTCACCCCCACCTCCATCCCATCCTCCCCCCCACACTCCACCCCTCTCATCTCTTCCTCATCTGTCCCCCGCACTCTCCCACCCCGCCCCTCTCACCTCTCGCCCTCCCCCTCACTTCTCCCCCAGCTACCCCCGCCCCTCTTAACCCCCACGCCCCTCCCCTCTTCCTCCCCCCCCCTCTCTCACCTCTCTCCCCCCCCACTTATCCCCTCCACTCTCCCACCCCGCCCCTCTCCCCCCCCCCGCGCTCCTCCCACCTCCCCCTTCCCCCGCCCCTCCCCCCCTTGCCCCGCCCCTCTCACCTGCCCCCCTGCTCGCTGTCGCCCCCGACCGTGAGCTCGCATCCCGGGAAGAGCCTCGCGGCGAGCACGGGGGCGATGCAGCACAGCGCCACGGGTTTGTCCGCCTCCCTGAAGGCGCGCAGCGCCGCCTCCACGCCCGGCAGCAGCGAGCAGCTCGCGCCCTCGGAGGCCCACGAGCTCAAGTTCTTGGCCACGCCGAACCCACCTGGAGAGAGGGGGGCGGGGGGGTATGAGAGGGGGGGGGGTATGAGAGAGGGGGGGTATGAGAGAGGGGGGGGGGTATGAGAGGAGGGGGGTATGAGAGGGGGGGGGGTATGAGAGGGGGGGTGGTATGAGATGAGAGGTAACGATGTGTAACTCCTTGAGCCGCTAAAGCCTCCTCGAGTCTCAAGTTTCTTCTTCGATCTTCGGTGCGATGTGCAATTAATGAGGCGCCATACCCGAAACGTCGTCTCTATGTTAACGTGAATGAACGCGCTCCGCAAACTGGGACTTGTTCAGCAATCATCAGGTGCGTGTAGCGCAAGTGCCGCTGCAGCTACGATTAAGTCGAAGGAAGAGAGCGAGTGGGCGCTGCTATTACCGTTGCCTGTCGACCTTGTGTATTACTGTGGTGGTGGTTGTTGTGGTGGTTGTTGTTGTTGTTGTTTACTGTGGTCGTTGTTGTTGTTGTTTATTACTGTGGTAGTGGTTGTTGTTTATTACGGTGGTGGTGGTTGTTATTGTTGTTGTTTACCGTGGTGGTGGTAGTTGTTGTTTATTACTGTGGTGGTTGTTGTTTATTACTGTGGTGGTGGTTTATTACTGTGGTGGTTGTTGTTGTTGTGTATTACTGTGGTGGTGGTTGTTGTTTATTATGGTGGTGGTTGTTGTTTATTACTGTGGTGGTGGTTGTGGTGGTTGTTGTTGTGTATTACTGTGGTGGTGGTTGTTGTTGTTTACTGTGGTGGTGGTTGTTGTTTACTGTGGTTGTTGTTGTTGTTTACTGTGGTGGTGGTTGTTGTTGTTGTTTACCGGGCACGAGCAGCGCGTCGAAGTCGGCGACGCGGAGCTGCGCCAGGTCGCGCGCGGCGCCGCGTGCGATCCGCGAGCTCTCGCGCAGCACGTTCCGCTCCGTCTCCCCGCTCTGCTCCTTGCCGCTCGCGTGGTCCACCACGTGGTGCTGCGCCACGTCCGGGGCGAACACCGTCACCTGCACCAGGGGGGGACGGGGGGCACGGGGGGGGGGCACGCGGGGGGGGGGGGGGGCGAGAGAACATAAATTAGAACGGCAGCTGATGGAGTGTGGTTACCTGTGGAGGAAAAAGGGGGGAGGGGGTCACGGGGAGGTACCGGAGGTTGGGGGGGGCACACGGAAAGGTACTGATGGGGGGGGGGCACAAGGGGAGTTACTGATGGGGGGGGGGCACAAGGGGAGAGGTGGGGTGCACGGGAAGCGGCATGGGGAGGGTAGGAGGGGTTACGGGGGGGGTACGGGGGGGGTACGGGGGGGGGTAAGGGGGGGGGTACGGGGGGGGTACGGGGGGGGGGCACGGGATGGATTGGCGCACGGTGGGGGGCAGGGTACGACTAGGGGGGCGGGTGCCGTCACCTGCGGAGAGCGAGTACGGTCACGTGTACACACACACACACGCGCGCGCACTTGTTCCATGACGTGTACGTGTTCCATGGAGGTGTACTCGTTCTATTAGTATCTAGGATTGGCCACCGATGTTAGCCGTGGTCGGGAATCGAACGTAATCAATATCGTCGGGGTAGATGAGGAAGCGCCTCAGTCCGCAGTGCGCTAACCACTGCGACACCGCTCCCCACTCGCGCGTGCACAAAGACAAAGCCCCCTGCACCCTATAGCCTTAAGACTGTTGGGGCAAGTGCTGTTAGCGAGCAACCTAAGAAGGCCGGCACGGCACACGAGGGGGTGGGTGGTCAACACCACGCCCGACCGCCTTTGTCTCCCCAGTGGCGATGTTTACACACCGTACCAGGTACTCATTAGAGGCCGAGTCAACCTAGGGAAGGCCCAGAACCGGTTCAGATAATCGTCACTGGTGTTGGCCGTGATCGAGGTTCGTAGCGCAGCGCACTAACCGCTACACTACCGCTCCCAGCTACACCACACACGTGTACACACACACACACGTGTACACACACACACACACGTGTACACACACACACACACGTGTACACACACACACGTGTACACACACGTGTGTAACTAGACTCTCACCTCGGCTCCCGCTCTGCTCAGGTGAACGAGCGCCGCGGACGCCTCGTGGATTTCGCTGCCGTCATAGGCCCCGCACCCCGCCAGCAACACAGCCACGCGCTTCCCCATCTCTGCTGATGATGATGCTGCTGATGCTGCTTCGGCCGAAGATCGAGCGGATGAAGCTGCGGTTGCAAGCGGCTCCTCTTTTATTAGCGGCTGGGGGAGGAAGAGGGAGGGAGGGGAGCGAGTGGAGAGAGATACGAGTCTGGAGAGAGGGGAACGCGAGCGTGGGCGAGAGATGGGGGGTGGTGATGCGAGAGAGGGGAGAGGGGAGGAGGAGGAGGAGCGTGAGATGAGAGCGAGCGCTGTTACGATGGTTGGGCACTCATTGGGGGAGGGATGGGTGGAAGGGAGGAGGGAGAGAGAGTGGGTGTTTGTCTGGAAGTGAAGTTGTGGACTTTCCAGAAAATCACGCGACGATCTGTCTCATTTGAAAATAAATATATGAGCGAGTGAGAATTCGCGGCGTCACTTCCTAAAAACGCCATGTTACTCGTGGCGCTGATTAGAAGTCTGTGAAAAACTACATAGCTCGTCGAATTCCTCCAATGTAAATACAGAGTCTCATTGATGAGTGTGGTGTTTGTTACCCGTGGTGGTGGTGATGATAGCAGTGGGGCATCTGTCAATCATCTCAAGCAGTTAAGCCATAACACCTGGGTCTGACCCTTGACCTGCGATCAGCGAGCCTTCCACACTTCACGAGGTAGCCTCAAAGTGCACCTAGCCTGGCACAAGCGCTGTGGTGATGTCACCGCCACTTCGTGGCGAATGGCGGCTATTGTTGTTGGTGTGGTGTTGGTGGTGGTGACTGATGGTGTTACACGTGGTGATGGTGGTGGTGGTGGTTTTCCTGGTGAAGATGATGGCGGTGGTATTGATGTGATCATGACAACGGTGGTGGTGGAGGCTGATTGGTGTTACTCTTGGAGGACGCGGTGATGGTGAGGATGATAGTGGGTGGTGGATGTGGCGACTTCAATCCACTGCCTCCCCGCGCCCATATCCGGTCGCGAAGGACGTTTGACCATATTTCACCACCCTGGAGGTCAGTTTGGATTTGTGCGGGTAAAGTGTGTGGCGGGTGGGTGTCCGATTGTCTGGGTGTCTCGAAACCGGCTTGACGCACCACTGACAATCGGGGCATAAAGTAGCGCGGTGCGCTAACCGTTGCGCCACCGCCCCCCCCCCAACTCCACCTCTGCCCGCCAGGCACTGAAGCGCATCATCGCGAGTGACCTTTTAGGGCGGCAACGGCGCTGTCGGCGACGTTTCTGGAAGTTCCACGAGGAAGAGGGGAATTCCGGCCGTGTCGAGGCCGCGTGTCTCGATTTCAACACCCCCCGCGTCTCTCTGTGCGGCTCAGAAGGCGACTCGAGTCACCCCCCCCCCCTCTCCACCGCAACTCCATTCCCGCACCAACAGATCCATCGCGGGCTCCAACTCTCGCTTCCACATCTCCCCCCACACGCGCCCTCCCTTCCCCTTTGCTCTGTCCACACTCCGACAAAACTCCCCCCCCCCCGCTCGCCCTCCTCGCACCCACCCACCTCCACCCACACTCCGTCTCCCCACACTCCTCCCGCCCTCCTCCCCCTCCCCACTCCCCCCGTCTCCCCACACTCCTCCCGCCCGTCGCTTGCCCTTCATCTCGCTCCTCCCTCGCTCCCGTCACTGCCACACGCGCGGACAGGGAGGCGGAGGAGCGCATTGCGGCTCGCGAACCTCGACTCGTTCACATCATCACCAGCCCCCACCACCACCACCACCACCCGACTCCCCGAGTTCTCTCGCGCCTGCACGGGTTGTCCGCGAGTTTCGCGGCAGACAGCTGCCTCCAGCATGAGCTCACCGGCCGAGATCACGGGGCGTTCGCCCCCCAAACTCCACAACTCAGTGGGGGTCTTGGGCATCACCGCAGGTGAGGCGTCGTCTGATGCTGAAACTACTGCGGATGATCATGATGATGATGATAAATATGAAGTTGTTGATGATGATGTTACTGCTGCCGATGTTATGATTGCTGCTGCTGATGATGTTGCCGTTGTTGCTGATGATGATGTTACTGCTGCCGATGTTATGATTGCTGCTGCTGATGATGATGTTGCCGTTGTTGCTGATGCTCATAATGACGCTGACGATGATATTAATTTTGGGACCTCGTGTTTACATTCGTGAACAAATGCGCGCGTGAATCCCGGGCACACGTGAATACGATCGCTCATCGGTGCTCGCGAACAGCACTTGCCCCAACAGTCTCTCAAGGCTATACGGGTGATCTTTGTTTTATTTTGCTGGTGTGTTTGTGGGGGTGGACGGCGCGGTTGTTAGCGCACTGCACTACAAATCCGACCACCTGGGTTCGATTCTCGAGCACGACAAACACCGGTGGGTTGGAAAGAAATATCTGAAACTCCCCTGCGTCTCTCCCCGAAATCCGCCCAGCCTTTAACGAGTACCTGATACGGTGTGTACTAAACACCGGCACTGGGGAGATCAAGGTGGCCGTGAGTGCGTGGTGCTTGGTCACACCGACGCCTCCAGCTCGTGCGCCGTGCCGCCCTTGCTAACGAAGAGAAGCGGGAAAGTGTAAACCCAGCAGCAACAGCAGGAGCAGCAGCAGGAGCAGGAGCATCGGTGGTGTCGGGTGCTCGCTGGCGGTGCTCAGCCCGGCAGTCCGCGAATGCCGGCGACTGGCGGAGTGTGTGGGTGGGCGTCTCTCACCGCGTGTCTGGCGTCCTCCCCCACCACCACAACCACCCCCCCACCAACCCCCCACAACCACCACCCCTCACCCCCCCACCACCCCCCCCCACCACCCCCCGACCAACCCCCCCACCAATCCCCCACCACCACCCCCCCACCACCACCCCCTCACCACCACCCCCCACCAACCCCCACGTTCTCCCCCCCCACCACCACCCCCCACCACCACTACCGCCCCCCCCACCCCCCCCACCCCCCACCATCCCCCCACCATCCCCCCACAACCCACCAACCCCCCAACCATCCCCCCACTACCCCTCCCCACCCACCACCCCCCCCCCACCCACCACCCCCACCGCAGGGTCCCTGCTGCTCGCCATCGAGAGCTACGCCCCGGGCCGCTTCGAGCCCACGGCGCTGGGCCTGCTGCTGCTCGTCGTCTCCGCACTCCTCGCATTCGCAGGTTCGCCTCCTCCCCCCTCCTCCTCCTCCCTCCTCCTACTCCCACTCCTCCTCCTCCTCCCACTCCGCTATCCTCCTCCTCCCACTCCTCCTCCCACTTCTCCTCCTCCCACTCCGCTATCCTCCTCCTCCTCCCACTCCTCATCCTCCCCCCCTCCTCCTCCACTCCTCCTCCCCCCCTCCTCCTCCCACTCCTCCTCCTCCCCCCTCCTCCTCCCACTCCTCCTCCCACTTCTCCTCCTCCCACTCCGCTATCCTCCTCCTCCCACTCCTCCTCCTCCCCCCCTCCTCCTCCCACTCCTCCTCCTCACCCCCCTCCTCCTCCCACTCCTCCTCCCACTTCTCCTCCTCCCACTCCTCCTCCCACTCCTCCTCCCACTTCTCCTCCTCCCACTCCTCCTCCCACTCCTCCTCCCACTTCTCCTCCTCCCACTTCTCCTCCTCCCACTCCTCCTCCCACTCCTCCTCCCACTCCTCCCACTCCTCCCACTCCTCCTCCCACTCCTCCTCCCACTCCTCCTCCCACACTCCTCCTCCTCCACTCCTCCTCCCACTCCTCCCACTCCTCCTCCTCCCACTCCTCCCTCCTCCTCCCACTCCTCTTCCCACTGCTCCTCCTTCCACTCATCCTCCCACTCCTCCCACTCCTCCTCCTCCCACTCCTCCTCCCACTCCTCCTCTCACTCCTCCTCCCACTCCTCCTCCCACTCCTCCTCCCACTCCTCCTCCGCTTCCCACTCCGCTTCCTCCTCCTCCGCACTGCGGGCGAGGGCTGCGGTTGGGGGCGGGGGGCGGCTTTTGTCCACATTTATAAACATGTGTCGAGATTATTTTTCCCGTAATACAGATTTTTTGTTTTGGGTTAGATCGCGTAAATATTTAATGTGTCGTTAAACCCGCCACCACCCGACACAGCCAACTAGTAAGTTGTGTCACTTAAACAGAATGTGGCCAATTCGTTACTTAGTACAGCACACCAGTGTGTTGGAAAGCAAAGCCACAACATTTACAATCTGAGTACGACGTTTCGCCAGTAATTACAACCAGCATAATACATTTGGCATGTTGCGATCGAAACGTGATATTTGAATGATTTTTCTATCTACGCGGCTTTACCAAAAGACCCAAAGAACATGAATTCCTGCAGTCACGAAAGCTTTAAGTTAAGAGTTCAACAAAATACGATTTAGTTTTATTTGTATATCATTTTTAAATTGATTTGTTTACCTTTTCTATACTTTGCACTCTTATCGTGTGTATTGTTTATTGCTATTGTAACGTTCTGACCTGTCCCAACTGGATATCTGTTATAAAGAGCGTTCCAGCTCATCGGATTCCTCCTCCAGCATAAATAAATTTTCTGATTCTGATCCTCACCCACCCACCTCACCACTTCCTCCTCCTCTTCACCCCTTGCCCAACCCGCTTATTCCTCTTCGGTGGTTTAGGAGAAGTGGTGGAGGTGTCTGTAGGGTGGGAGGGAAGGGAGCCTCCCCTAGGTCGACTCAGCCTAAGAATGGATACATGGTGCAGTGGGCAAACATCTCCACGAGTGAGACAAGGGCAGCCTGGGTGTGGTGCTGGTCCACCCACCCCCTCGTGTGCCTTTCCAGCCTTCATAGGCTGCTACTCGCGAACGGACGCTTGTCCCAATAGTGTCAGGCACCCCCCCATCCCCGCCCCTCCAGGTTACAAAGTCCCCTTGCCGAGTCTATTTAAACTAAACTATTGTTTTCTTATTTTATCAGCTAAAAAGCCAAACGAGCTACATTTCAGAAGCGAACTGGTCACAAACGACAGCAGACACATACTCTAAACGCATGTTTCTACGCGGTGTTAGTCAGGAATGTGTGGTCGTGTTGTGTAATAATGTCTCGCATATCCCCCTCGCGCATTTCCGAACTTCTCCTGCACAGTATCCATGCCGCGGCCTGCATACTGATTCCCCCTCCCTCCACCCACCTCCAATGTGAGTCTTCGGGTGTCTGTGTGAGTCTACAGGCCTCGTGAGTGTGAATCGATGGGTCTCTAGCACCGAACAAGAAAGACACTGCCACCTCATTCCAGTCTCTCAATGCACGCGACATCTGCGACTGGGAGGCCACGGGCTGGATTGTTGTGGCGTCTCCACACGTGCCCCAAGCGACGATTAACGCCCCAACGTGGGCCCATTGCATTTGTCGCAGCGATTCACTGCGTCATTTTATTTATCCTGCCATCACTCTCTCTGTGCTGCCCTCGTTCTTTCTGTGCTGCCCTCACTATCTCTCTGCTGCCCTCGTTCTCTCTGTGCTGCATTCACTATCTCTGTGCTGCCATCGTTCTCTATGTGCTGCCCTCTCTCTCTGTGCTGCCCTCGTTCTCTCTGTGCTGCCTTCACTCTCTCTGTGCTGCATTCACTATCTCTGTGCTGCCATCGTTCTCTATGTGCTGCCCTCTCTCTCTGTGCTCTCCTCGATCTGCCCGTGCTCTCCTCGTTCTCTCCTGCTGCCCTTGGACTTGCTCGTGCGCTGCCCGCACCTCCTCCTCCGCCCCCCTCCCCACAGCCATCCGCAGGCTCCAGTGCGAAGCGTCGGTCTTCGTGAACCTCTGCCTCATCCTCTCGGCGCTCTGGGCCGGCCAGGGGGTCATCATGGTGCTCATGGGCCAGGGGGCGATCGGCCGCGACGAGCACAGCACGCGGCTGGCCCTGGCCCCGGGCCTCGTGGCCTTCGCCCCGGCCTGTCTGCTCCTCTGCTTCGTGGGCCTCGTCAAGGGCCCCACGCTGCTCGCCGCGATGTCGGGCGCCGTGGCCTTCGCGCTCTCGCACCGCATCGCGCTCCTCTACGCGGGCCCATGCCGCCGCGCCGGGATTCGGCTCCTCCGGGGTGGCCGCCAGCTACCTCGTGGTGGCCCTGGTGGGCCTCTACTACGGCGCGGGCCGCATCGCGCACTACCTGAGCAGGGGCGCGCTGGGCCTGCCCGGCACGGCCGGCTCCAACAAGCAGGGCGCCCGCGGCGGAGAGGCCGCGGCGAGGAGGAAGCGCGTCCCGGGAGACGCCAACGAGACGGCGGTGGCCGGGTACGCGGCGTGCGCGCTCGCGGCCAGCGTCTTGGGCTGCAGGGCGCTGGGCATCACCGCGCAGCTGAGCGGGGGGCAGGTGCCGTGGCTGGGCGCCGCCTTCGCCCTGCAGCTGCTCGTCTCGGTGCTCTCGTTCCGCTCCAACGACGCGCTCGGCGGCGTCTTCTTCGCCTTCGCGTCACTCGTCAGCAGCGGCGCCGGCCTGCAGCTGGGCCTCTGGGCGTGGCACCGCGAGGGCGGCGTCCTGGACGGCTCCGTCTCCCTGCTGCCGCCCCCGGCTCCCGTCGTCCTCGCCGTGCTCTTCCTCGTCGCGTCCCTCGCCGCCGCCGACCGCAGCCTGGCCGAGGTGGCGGTGGGCCTGGTGCTCGCTGCCTCCTGCGTGGCCGTCGCCTCCGACTCGATCGGCTTCCTGGGGGTCGCGTCGCTGCGCGCCGCCGTCGCCGTCTTCCTCGCCGCCCTCGCCTTCTTCTTCGTGCGCCTCTTCAACCTCGCGGGCGGCGACATCCGCATCCCCGTGGGCCAGGGGATGGTCACGCGTCTCGTCTGCCGCCGGGGCGGCTACGCGGCCGTCTTCCTCACCGCCGATCACGACTCGGCGGCGCCCGTGCTCGGCTACTCGCGCTACACGGACGCCGAGTCGCTGGGCCACGCGTGCAACGCCTTGGCCGCCTTCGGCATGACCCTGGCGGCGCCGGCGGACCCCGCGGCGGGGCCCCTGGGCACGCTGGTGCTGCCCTGGGTGGTGGTGGCCGGCGGGCTCCTGCAGTTCGCGGCGGGCGCCATCTCGTTCTCGCGCGGCAAGACGCTCGAGAGCACGGCGTTCGTCTTCTACAGCCTCATGTGGCTCATCTGGGGGGTGACGCGCTACGCGGGCCTCGCCGCCGCGGGCGAGCGCGGCTTCGACCTCTCGGCGGGGGTCATCTGCTTCATGGTGCTCAATCTGTTCGTGGCGCTGGGCGCCGTCTTCCTCAGCAAGATGTGGTTCGCGTCGGCGCTCTGCTTCGAGCTCATCATGGTGAGCTTCCTGCTCGAGGCGCTCGGCGCGCTGCCGCGCCGCTACGACGAGGCCGTCACCGTCATCTTCGGCCTCGTCAGCTGCTACTGCTTCGCGGCGTCGCTCTCCACGCAGACGCTGCACCGCTTCGCGCTGCCCGCGGGCAAGCCCTGGATGCAGCTGGGGGGCCCCGCGGGCGCGGCGCACGCCTCCTGCCCGCACCTCCCGTCGCGCAAAGCCTCCTCCGTGCAGCAGATCGCAGGTAATGGACCGGGGGGGGGGGGGGGGGGAGGTGGGGGATGCGAGGGAGGGGTGGGCATGGGAGGAGATGTGAGCGACACCGTGATCACTGTCACTGTGCGCATAACACCATGATGCTGATTGGGATCATTCTGATGATCATTCTGATGATCACGAAAGTGACAAGATGATCACCATTGTAATAAGGATGATGATCACAATCGTGATCATCATCCTGATTATCATCCTGATAATTCTGATGATCAGGATGATGATCACGATAGTGGTCATGATGATGTCGTAACTTGCTGACCCGCCCATACTGGACTTCTGTGAGAAAGAGCTTCACAGCTCATCGGATTCATCGTGCAGTCTAAATAAAGATTCCGACGATGACACATTCTCTCTGCACGTTTGCGCTTCTCGATCTACTACTGACCTGCCCGTCGCGCTGTGACCCTGACCACTGCACCCCCTCCCCCCCCCGCAGAGATCATGAAGAACGGGGGCACGTGCGGGGTGCCCACGGACACCGTGTACGTGCTCGTGGCCGCGTGCAACCGCCCCGAGGCCGTGAGGAAGGCGTACAGGTGCGGGGAGACACGCGGCATTGGGGGGGGGGGGGGGGTAGAGGGGGGCAGAGAGAGAGGAGAGAGTGGGGATGGGAGAAAGAGGAAAATGTAGAGGAGGGGGAGAGTCGGGAGAGGCAGAGAGAAGGAGCAGAGGTGAAGGCACGGAGAGAGCGAGAGAGTTGAGACAGAGAGTGGGTACATTCCTCGCGCTGTGAGCATCACGACCCGAGACGAACAGCCACCTTTGGGGACTCTCAGAGCGAGTAGTGCACCACCTTGTGGCTTCCATTCCTTCCTCACCTCGCATCGCCCCCCTCCCCCCGCCCCTCGGCAGGAGCAAGAAGCAGGCTGAGCACCGGCCCATGTCGCTGTGGATCTCGGGCACGCGGCAGCTGGAGCCGGTGCGCCACCTCTTCTCGCCGCTGCTCTGGGGCCTCATGGAGGCCGCGTGGCCCTCGTCCGTCAGCCTCGTCATCAAGAGGGGTACCGCTCCACGTGCACAAACATCATCACCACCACCACCAGCGGCATCATCATAACCGTCATCATCGGCACAACCATCACCAGCTGCGGCATACTCATCAGCGGGCACGATCTATCCACCGCTGTTGTCGTCTGTCGCATTCTCGCGATGCGACGATCCGCGCAGCGCCTATCACGCGAGCCACCCCCGCCGCTCCATCTCCTCCGTGGACGTCCCCTGCGTGCGCCTCGCCCAGCAGCGGAGCGGCCTTCGCAGGCGCCGCTCGCTAACGGCACTTGCCTCAAGAGTCCGCTAAGGCTACGCGGGGGGTCTTTGTCTTTGTCGCCGAGCAGGGGAGTGGGTGGACAGCCTGGGCATGGGCGACGCCGCGTCGCTCATCGGCACTCCGGACAGCATCGCGGTGCGCTACCCGGACTGCACGGTCACCACGCAGCTCATCGACCTGGTGACAGCCCCCCACCCCTACCCCCCTCCCTCCCTCCCTCCCTCGCTCCCCCTGATCCCAAACCTCCTTCCCTGCTCCCCCAATCCCCTCTTTCCCTGTTGCCATCCCCTCCTCACTCCCTCCGTCTCTCACTCACTCCGGATTCCTTTCCCCTGATCCCTGCCTCCCACTCTGCCACCACACGCCCTCCCTGCCTCGCCCCCCCCCCCATCCCCTGCTCCTTCTGCTCTGCCCCCCCCCCTCATTCTCCTTGCGTGCTCCCCCCACCCTCTCCCCTGCACCGCCCCCCCACTCTCTAACCACCCCGCCCCCCCCCCTGATCCCCAAATTCCCTCCCTCCGATCCCCGCCCCTCCTTCCACTGACGCGGGTCCCGTGCCCCCTCCCCCCTCCCCCAGGTGGGCCCCATCGCGGTGACGTCAGCGAACCCCACGGGGGAAGCGGACACGACTCATCACAACCAGGTGTACGCCAAGCTGGGGGCACAGGTACGGGGCGGGGCGGGGGGTGGTGGGGGGGTGAGGGGGGGTGGTGAGAGGGGGTGGGGGGCGGTGGGGGTGTTGGTGGGGGGGTGATGGGGGCGGTGGGGGTGGTGGGGGTGGTGGTGGTGGGGTGTGACTCGATTGTGATGGTCGTTGTTGATTTGATGGAGTGAGAGATAGTGATGGTCGTGGTAGGCTCCCATAATGACAACGGTGATGGTGGCAGTCTTGACGATGATGACGATGGTTGTAGTGGTAGTCTCCCTTGACTGACTCGGTGATGTTGATGATTATGGTGGTGGTGGCGGTACGGGTAAACTTTCTTGATTGAATAGATGATGATGTCGACGATGATGTCGATGATGCAGGTGGACGGGGTGCTGTGCGATGGACCCTCCCCGGAGAACATCGCCTCCACCGTGGTGGACTGCACCAAGATCGAGGAGGGCGCCATCAAGTTCTTCAGAGTCGGCCTCGTGCCCAAGAACAAGGTGAGCACACCGCGGCTTCCGCGGATTTCTAGTCAGAGTGCGCGGCTGCCGCCGATTTCTCCCACGACTGGTGTCTGATGATGAACAACGGTCATGATCGTGTGCCGTGTGCGACTCTGCTACGTATGTGTGCACGTGTGTGTGTGTGTGTACGTGTGCGGTAGGATTGGTAGTGGATTGGTAGTGTAGCGGGTAGCGCTCTGCGCTACGAACCCGGCTCCCCTGAGTTCGATTCCCGCTCATGGCTAACACCAGTGACTATTATCTGAACCGGACGTGGGCCTCCCGTAGGTCGACTCAGCCCCAAGTTATTACTTGATGTGTGTAAACATCGTCGCTGGGGAGACAAAGGCGGTCGGGCGTGGTGCTGGCCACCCAAATTCGTGTGCCGTTCCGACCTTCATAGGTGCTCGTGAATAACACTTGCTCCCACAGTCTGTTCAGGCTATACGGGGGATCTTTGTTTTTTGTCGTGGTCGTGTCGTGGTTAGCGGTCGCGTAGTGGTCAAAGCACACCGTGCTACAAATTCGGCGACCAGAATTCGAATCCCGCTCGCGACCAATCTACAGCCTCAACTTAGTCCCTAGAACGGTGAGTGATCATCGTGACATTGTGTCACGCCCCTGCAGGTTCTACAAATGTTCGAGGAGGTGCGCGCCCGCCTGCAGCCGCTGCCCCGGGGCGGCATCACCAACGTGGGCTTCGAGCAAGGAGAAGACGAGGACCGACACTACCACCACTACCACCACGAGGAGGAGGACAGAGATGACGCCCTCTTGATCGCCGGCGGCGCGATGAGAGAGGAGTCTGACGCGTGACCCTTCCGGCGTGTTTCCTGGGAGGAGGTGTGGGGGGGGGGGCAGTGTCGGATTAAGCTAGTGCGGGGCCTGTAGCATATGTTAAAAAGGGGCCATGAATAAAAAAAACGTAGATATGAAAACACACATTTTCAACTTGCATAGTAAAGTAATTGTATTTTTTCATTTGCTATACGGACAGATAATACGACAAATGGCTAACCTTAAACACAGTCGTTCATAAATGTTGAAGGTAGTCTAGTACTATGGTAATAGAGCAAGTGCAGAATTACTGAACCGGGATTGATATCTTGAAAGCATTTAGCACGGGGGCCTTGAAAGTGCGGAGCCCGTAGCTACTACATATGTAGCTACTTTTGCTACGAGGTTAATCAATCCGCCACCTCAAGCCAGGCCCGGGTCCCCCCCCCCCCCTCCGACATCAACAAGACGTCCGTGCCCAGACAGCGCTCGCTTAGCTTACATATCCAGCCGTGAACGTGCGAAACGTATTATCAGCATCCAGCAGCAGCAGCTGTGATAAATCCACCTGCTTCATCCTTGTAACTTGTACGAATGAGACGTATGTTAATTAATTTTTGTTTTGCTTTTGATGTTTTGGTGAGCCCCCCGATCACACTTGCGAATGAGACGCATCCTTGGACTCTTGAGTTCTCGCCCGGCTACACAACATAACGGCGGAGGGTGAAGCACTGCTGGATGTGCAGGAGCTGATTTAATCGCTCCATCTCCATTGTCGAGGTCCTGTCGGGCGTGTTCCCTCCTCTAGCTGCTCATCCGGTCTATGTTCTAATTCCTTCAAGCTGTCTGTCCTGCTCCCGTATGTATGTATTAGGGACGTGCGGTCAGGGGAGGCAGGGGGAGGCAGAGCCTCACCTGTCATTCTCCAATGAAAATAGCTGTTACGAAAAATAAATAAAAAGAATAATCAAATGAAATAAATATTAAGATTTTTCCACTGATCTGTGTTATGTCATTTCTGTATAACTCCAATCATTTTTATAATAAAAATCGCCAAATTTGCGGAGCTCCGCTGCAAATACAGGAAGAGACGAGAGGTGAGGCAGCGACGAGCTCAGCCTCCCCTCTGATTGCGCAACCCCTCAGTAACTGGATGGAGCGTGGGCAATAAGCGCGTGCCTGTTACTATCTCAGTATGTCACCAATGTAATGTTTGTAGACCCCTTCGTTTCATGTCCTCGCCTTCCATACTCAAGGTAACTTATTTCACGTATGTGTATAAAGACATTTAGACTCGCTGGTCTCGTCATGAAACTGCAATAAAAAAATGCACCAGGGGAGGTAGCTGTCACATCTGCCTCACTGAGGGGGACGTCTAACACGCCCCCCTCAGTGAGGCCACGCCCCCCTCAGTGTGTGAATCGGGCTCTGACATGAGCTAGTGCCTCCCCAGCCATTGACCTCACCGCAGGTCACTGGTCTGCATGTTGAACTTCTTTCGCACGGGGGAAGGACAACCAAATCGAAACACAAAAAGCAGTTCTAAAGAAATTAGTTTTCACATGCGGTACTTTTCACAACCGCCATTGTGATGCCTCCAACTTTATATTCGTTCTCAGTGTCATTCCCAGAGTGCACCTCTCAGCATAATTCCCAGAGTGCATCTCTCAGCATAATTCCCAGAGTGCATCTCTCAGCATAATTCCCAGAGTGCACCTCTCAGCATAATTCCCAGAGTGCACCTCTCAGCATAATTCCCAGAGTGCATCTCTCAGCATAATTCCCAGAGTGCACGAGACTGGCGTACGGGAGGGTCCTCCTGCCTTGCGATGTTTTGTGACAGTGAGAGCTCTTTTACGTGTGGACGGAAAACGGAGGAGTTCCCGCGTGGAATCGACGTACGCACCTGGCGACGACGTGACGACACACCACTTGCACACCGCTGCCACCATGCACTGCCTGGACGCCTACAGGCCCCCAATGTCGCGCTAGGGGGTTGGCCCCCACCGATAACAGACGACGAAAAATCCCTGACCAGGGCAACTCGCACAAAAGTGGCTCAACTCCGTTCAGGTTACTGCTCCATGCTAGCTGATTACCAAAATCGAATCGACCCAAATGTCCCAAACTGCTGCTGCCCTTTGTGCCAAGCAACGCCAGAAGACGTCCTCCCATTTTCTTAGTTGCTCAAAACGCGGACCGAAAATTAACATCGATTGGTCTCTGGATAAACCCTTCCAAAGTGGCGACACAATGCCACCTATAAACAGAAAGTGCGAGGAACACAACAACAACAACGTTACGACACGAATGCATAATCAAAAATAAAGTTTGTTTTGGGTTAGTTTGCGTAAATGGCGCCACGGTGGCGAGATGTGAACTACCTCGCCTGGTATACAGGAGGACGTGGGTTCGATCCTGACCCCTGATGCCTGTATATTTTGGAGTTTGCATGTTCTCTCTCCACGTGGTCGCGTGGATTTTTCTCCTGTTTTTACCCCTCCAAATTTTGAAACGTGCGTTTAGAGTATTTGGCTGCTTTAAATTTCCACGTGATGATAAGCTACTTAGTTGAGCTATCATTTGTGGCCAAGTCGCTCCTCAAAAACAGCTACATAGCTCAGTGGATATTTTCCCGATAAAATTAAAAAATACATAGCTTTAAATATAAATGTGTCGTTAAACCCACCACCACCCGACACGGCCAATGAGTAATCGTCACGTAAATTTTGATTTAAAGCTTTCGTGACTGCAGAGATTCATATTCTTGGTTCTTTCGGAAAAAGTCATGTAGAAAGGGAAACAATAAAAGAATTAAAAAAAAAATATTTTTATAATTGTATTGTTTCCCTTCTACGTGACTTTACCGAAAGAACCAAGAATACGTTGTCACGTAATCAATACGTGCCAATTAGTAACTATTTCGGCACATCGGTGCGTTGGAGAGCAAAACCCACGACATTCATAATTTATTATTTGTAAATGTACAATATTTCAAATAAATATTTATTTACAATAAATAAATAACTAGTACAACTAAATCGAGCCTTGACTGCCACCCACTGGCCGCATCAGCAGCGCAGGCGAGTGAGTTTTGGCGCTCTCACGAGTCACAGTGCCCGCGAGCCACTGGCAAGCCCCTGGTGGTGGCCTTTAGTGCGGCCCTCGTCAAATACACAACACGTGAAAAACACCCCCCCCCCCTCTAGATTTGAAGCTTTCGTGACTGCAAGGATTCATATTCTTCGGTTTTTTCGGTAAAGTCACGTAAGTAAAAAATTAAAAAAAGTAAAATAAAAATCACGACGTTTCGGAGGCAACACAAGCTTCAGTCTTCAGGTGGAACCGTCACAGCACGATAGCTGTATCTATTTATTTTACTTTTATTAATTTTAATTTTTTACCTACGTGACTTTACCGAAAAAACCTAAGAAAATACCCCCCCTCCCCCAATCATGGCTGTCAAACCCCCAATGATTTCAAATGTGCCCTCAACACTGATGATGTCCCCCTGACCCCTCTCTGAAAATGAATGAAGAGCACCGCCCCTACGTGATTCACCCCCCCCCCCTCCACCTCCGGCGTAAATTTCGATCGTGCTCTTGGCGTCTTGAGGATCCCAGCTGAGATCTCGCAGCGACGTTGATGGTGATGGGACGTTGATGGTGATGGAACGTTGATGGTGATGGAACGTTGATGGTGATGGGACGTTGATGGTGATGGAACGTTGATGGTGATGGGACGTTGATGGTGATGGGACGTTGCTGGTGATGGAACGTTGATGGTGATGGGACGTTGCTGGTGATGGAACGTTGATGGTGATGGAACGTTGATGGTGATGGGACGTTGATGGTGATGGAACGTTGCTGGTGATGGAACGTTGATGGTGATGGGACGTTGATGGTGATGGAACGTTGATGGTGATGGAACGTTGATGGTGATGGGACGTTGATGGTGATGGAACGTTGCTGGTGATGGAACGTTGATGGTGATGGGACGTTGCTGGTGATGGAACGTTGATGGTGATGGAACGTTGATGGTGATGGGACGTTGATGGTGATGGGACGTTGATGGTGATGGGACGTTGATGGTGATGGAACGTTGATGGTGATGGGACGTTGATGGTGATGGAACGTTGATGGTGATGGAACGTTGATGGTGATGGAACGTTGATGGTGATGGAACGTTGATGGTGATGGAACGTTGATGGTGATGGAACGTTGATGGTGATGGAACGTTGATGGTGATGGAACGTTGCTGGTGATGGAACGTTGATGGTGATGGAACGTTGATGGTGATGGAACGTTGATGGTGATGGAACGTTGATGGTGATGGAACGTTGATGGTGATGGAACGTTGATGGTGATGGAACGTTGATGGTGATGGAACGTTGCTGGTGATGGAACGTTGATGGTGATGGAACGTTGATGGTGATGGGACGTTGATGGTGATGGGACGTTGATGGTGATGGGACGTTGATGGTGATGGGACGTTGATGGTGATGGGACGTTGATGGTGATGGAACGTTGATGGTGATGGAACGTTGATGGTGATGGGACGTTGATGGTGATGGAACGTTGATGGTGATGGAACGTTGATGGTGATGGAACGTTGATGGTGATGGGACGTTGATGGTGATGGAACGTTGCTGGTGATGGAACGTTGATGGTGATGGAACGTTGATGGTGATGGGACGTTGATGGTGATGGAACGTTGATGGTGATGGAACGTTGATGGTGATGGAACGTTGATGGTGATGGAACGTTGATGGTGATGGGACGTTGCTGGTGATGGAACGTTGCTGGTGATGGAACGTTGATGGTGATGGGACGTTGCTGGTGATGGAACGTTACTGGTGATGGAACGTTGATGGTGATGGGACGTTGATGGTGATGGGACGTTGATGGTGATGGAACGTTACTGGTGATGGAACGTTGATGGTGATGGGACGTTGATGGTGATGGAACGTTGATGGTGATGGAACGTTACTGGTGATGGAACGTTGATGGTGATGGGACGTTGATGGTGATGGAACGTTGATGGTGATGGAACGTTGATGGTGATGGGACGTTGATGGTGATGGAACGTTACTGGTGATGGAACGTCACCATCAACGCGCTGCAAACCTGATGACCCCGTTTGTCACCAACGCTGGCTGAAACCGGGAATCAAACCCAGGTGCTCAGTGGTGCTGGCTTAGTTGCAGCTCGGTGCCCACATTTCGTTTTTCAAACTCTCCCACGAAAAGTAAGATGTAATGAAGCTAATGCTGAAAACGAGTGGATTTTTGACGATAAACGATGCTTGAAGAGTCAAATTGTTCAAACGATGCCAATATTTACGTTTGTATTTATCTTTTTTTTAAGGCAATATATTTAGTTTGACTCAATTGCCCAATTTATATTCTGATTGTGCTACCGGTGTGACGCCACGAGACGAAGCGAATCCACGGGAAATTCTTGCAGGGCTCACGGAAGCGGATATCCCAGAGCTCCCCTCTGAGATCATTTGAAGGCGCCATCGTTCCACACACAGCAGGGGGCAGCACTTCTCCACTCACTCTGCCACTCTCGAGTCCAGCGGCAGGACATACGGGCGGGTTTCTTCTGACGCAACACAGAAGAATGCGGATTGCTGGTACCAGCGGTGTTGAGATCGGCTTCTGTCGAGGAGGAGGTTCGTGAAGGACGGACGGTAGAGGAGCGATGCTCACTACAACGAGCGGAGCGCCGGGCGTACAAAACGCAGCAAGTTGGCACAGTGGGGAGCACAGGTGGTGCCATCTGCCAGTCATCTGGGTCTGTCCCGTGGCCAGCACCACGCCCCCAAAGCTAAAATTGAGGTCGACATCGGGGAAACTCAGGACCAGATATTCATAATTGATATTTGGCCGTGAGCGGGAATCGAACTCGGGTTGCCGGGTTCGAAGTGCAGCACGCTAACCACTACACCGACACACAAACTGACACGCACGCATGCATAGACACAATGATTGGATTAACCACTCGTCCAATAGGGACACGTGTTATATGCAGCTAAAGCGCCTATTCTTTTAACAAAGTGATTAAGAAGGACCAACATTAGACTTGGATCAACACAGTTTTGTTTTATTTTCAAAAAATCATTATACATTACCATTATTTCCACTACCCAACAATTCACATACGCCCAAAATCATCTACAACCAGGTGTGTTCATCGATAATGTCAAACACAATCGTCTTCTTGGTCTCGCCTGGGCCTCACCTGGTTCAACTATAGAAGAAAATCGTGAACAGAATATCTTCTCTAGGACAGTTGCAGTGTAAGATAACCCAAGACACGGCGGAGAGCTGAGTCAGTAACTGAATGTAAGAACGTCGCAACTTCATTTCGGCGTTTTAAGATTCAAGATATGACGTTAAAATACATACATCTATTTTGGGAAGATATTTCGTGATATTGTTTGTTCACTAAACCAATTAAAGAGCTGTTGCGTAGGCATCATTGCACTCAATCGCTATCCATTATATCGCAGCGATTGCTCGCGATCGATGGGGGTGCAACCCAGCGCAATCCGATTTCACCCACACATCTATTGCACGGAAAATATCACGGTGTGGTGAGAAACTCTTGCCACCGATTGCACACCCTGTTCATACGCTTACGCAAAATTGCAGCAAATTACAAAGTACGAGCAGGAAGTACCCGGCTTTGCCCGGAGGAAAAATATATTTCAAAACTTGTCTTCTCTTAAAGAAAACAGAACATATACGTCCTCAAATACTAATCTATTGTGAAAGCCCGGCGTTCCGTTTGTCTGTCCATGTATCCGTCAACAAAATTACAAAATAGTTGGTCTAAAATGTTTCCATAAATTGTTGACCCCCACCCTCTAAAAATCTTTTTACCTCCCCCCCCCCCCAAATTATAAAGTATTCTACACTTAACAATCACCAATAAAATGTACAGCCCTTTGTTAGTCCACTGCCGGATGAAGGCCTTTCCACGCCGTGTGGAGCGTGGGCTTGTTTTGACCATACTTCACCACGCTGACCAGTACGGGTTGGCATCACGTTGCCACTGATGTTAGCCGTGGGTGGGAATCGCACTCAGGTGGCCGACGTGCAGAGTCGTAGTGAGCTGCGAACCATTGCACCAAAGACTTTTACGCCCCCCCCCTCTCCCCCTGTCGTTATAGCATGTAACATGCTGCTAGCGAGCAGCACCTATGAGGGCAGGCACAGTGGCACACGAGGAAGTGAGTGGCCAGCACTGCGCCCAGCCACTCCTAACACCAATCCCCTAAGGTCACTTCTTCGTGGCCAAATATTAACCAGCGGCAGTTAAGGTTGTCTAATGGTTAACAATATTCGTGCGTGTAGCTTGCCTACGTCCGTGCTACACGCGCTAGGGTTGTGTTCCGTCGCCGTCAATACACGCTACATATTTGTAAATGATAACTTACTAATTACGTCAAGGGATTTACACAAAGTGTGATTAATGTAACCAGCCATTAACACGCATTAAGTTATACGGGCTTATTGTCAAGCAATTGCATTACGATAACCATGGGATTATGACAATGATGAGATGAGGTTAAGAGCTGAAAAGAGGTGACGATGAGACGTCCTGGGTGCCAGGGTCCCAACTCTAGAATCCGGACTCCAGGATAGGGATTGTATAATTCGGACTCCAGGATCCGGATTATGGAATCTTTACTCCAGGATCCGGATTATAGAATCTGGACTCCAGGATCCAGATTCCAGAATCCGGAATGCTTTAGAACACGGACCCCAGAATCCGATCTCAAAAATCCGGATTCCCGAATCGAGACTCTAGAACACTTTGTTGAAAAATACCGGCGCGTGATCCTCAAAGTGACCGAACTTGTCCTGTCCGGAGATGAGAACGGTGGCGGGGAACTTGCGGGGACGATCCGGGTCCTGAAAGAAAAAAAAATCATCATGAATCATCTTGATCATCACCATGACCACCACCACTTGCACCCATCATCATCATCGTCCTCTTTTCCGTTGAACATTATCATCCAACCTGTGGCTCCGTAGCCGCACGCGACTCTTGAAGGACCACTTCGTGAACGTTTCTTATGAAGGACCCCGCCGTTTCTTATTCACTACGTGCATTGCCGCTCTTGAAATATTTATGTCTTTTGTAGCGAATTAGAAACAAATAAAAACGTCTCTTCTTGTTATTTTCGTTGCCGACCCCTAGCTGATGCACGCACCTCCGATGACATGTGGTGCGAAATAAGTTTAACCTTCACACATATCTATCGTTGTCCAATGTATCGTATCACCATCTGAGCATCATCATTAACCATAATTTATTCCGTTTGTTTACCCACGAAAGCCTCGCTGAGTCTCACGACTCTTTATTCAGTAGGGTCCTGCGGTGGGTTTTTTTCAGCAACGCGATGCTCCCAGTGGCAGATTATTCCAGCAGCAAAAGTAGCTACTACATATGACACGGACCCGCACTTTCAAGGACCCCGCGCTAAATGCTTTCAAGCTATCAATTCCGGTTCAGTGATTCTGCACTTGCTCTATTACTATAGTACTATACTGCCTTAAATGTTTACGAACGACTGGGTGTTTAAGGTTAGCGATTTGTCGTATTATCTGTCCGTATAGCAAATGAAAAATACAACTACTTGACTATGCAAGTAAACGTTTTGTTCTAATATTTACGTGTTTATTTATTTATTTAGGGCCCCTTTATAACGTATTCTACAGGCCCCGCACTAGCTTAATCCGGTACTGAATGCTCCTCAGCTGCGCGAGGGGACACCGGAGTGAACTCGTAGGGGGGGGGGGTACCCATGCAGAGAACAGGAGGAGAGAACGGACAAACTCCACACAGAACGTCGACGGTCAGAAACCCGGGGAAATTCGCAAACGGCCAACCAGCGACCCACGCGGCGCGGCGTAGAAACAGGCCGTCATCCAGCAGTGGATCGACACGGGGGGCGGCTGTCGGGTTGTGATGGGTACGGGGTGGGGTGAGAGTGACACTCACGTCGGAAGGGTGCGCGCACGTGGGCACGTAGCGGACCACGAGGCCGCAGCGGCGGCGCTGGGAGAAGTTGGGGTCGCTGGCGTGGACCGTCAGCCCATCGTGCACCTGCACCACAGACACCACAAAGGAGATGAAGATCCCCACACACATGTAGCCTTCACAGAACTGTCGGGGCAAGTGCTGTCAGCAAGCAGCGACGAAGGCCGGCACGGCACGCGATGGGGGTGGGTGCGCCAGCCACTACGCCCGGCCGCCTTTGTCTCCCCAGCGGCGATGTTTACACTCATTTGAGGATGCTGAGATGAGCCAGGGGAGGTGGAGAACTGGCTCACATGGTACCCTGTACTGGGTGTCCTGGGGTGAGTACTGCCCTGTACTGAGTGAGTGCTGCCCTGTATTGAGTGAGTACTGCCCTGTACTGAGTGAGTACTGCCCTGTACTGAGTGAGTACTGCCCTGTACTGAGTGAGTGCTGCCCTGTACTGAGTGAGTGCTGCCCTGTACTGAGTGAGTACTGCCCTGAGTGAGTACTGCCCTGTACTGAGTGAGCACTGCTCTGTACTGAGTGAGCACTGCTCTGTACTGAGTGAGTACTGCCCTGTACTGAGTGAGTACTGCCCTGTACTTAGTGAGTGCTTCTCTGTACTGAGTACTGCTCTGTACTGAGTGAGTACTGCCCTGCTCTGAGTGAGTACTGCTCTGAGTGAGTACTGCCCTGTACTGAGTGAGTACTGCATTGAGTGAGCACTGCTCTGTACTGAGTGAGTACTGCCCTGTACTGAGTGAGTACTGCCCTGTACTGAGTGAGTACTGCTTTGAGTGAGCACTGCTCTGTACTGAGTGAGTACTGCCCTGTACTGAGTAGTACTGCCCTGTACTGAGTGAGTGTTGCACCACTCTGTACTGAGTGAGTGCTGCTCTGTGCTGAGTGTTGCAACACTCTGTACTGCGCTGACTCTCACTCACCGACATCTGCCCCGCGCGGAGCGGACACTGTACTGAGTGAGTACTACCCTGTACTGAGTGAGTACTGCTCTGAGTGAGTGCTGCCCTGTACTGAGTTCTGCCCTGTACTGAGTGACTCTCACTCACCGACATCTGCCCCGCGCGGAGTGGACACTGCACCGCGAGCGCCGTCTCCACGAGGTGCTCGGGGATCTCCTGGTTGGCGGTGAGCAGGTTGCCCGGAGCCTGCGCCACGCGGTGCTCCAGCACCCCCTGCGTGTGGCTCCCTGCGGGTGGGGAGAGGGGGGGGGGGGAGAGGGGCAGAGAGAGGGGGGGGAGAAAGGGGGGGAGAGGGGAGGGGGAGAGAGGGGGGAGAAAGGGGAGGGGGGTAGGGGGAGAGAGGGGGTAGAAAGGGGAGGGGGGGGTAGGTGGAGAGAGGGGGGAGAAAGGGGAGGGGGGTAGGGGGAGAAAGGGGGGAGAAAGGGGGGGGGGGGAAGGGGGGGGAGAGAGGGTAGGGGGAGAGAGGGGGGAGAAAGGGGAGGGGGGGAGAGGGTAGGGGGAGAGAGGGGGGAGAAAGGGGGGGGGGGATAGAGGGGAGAAGGAGAGAGGGGGGAAAGGGGGGGGGATAGGGGGAGAGAGGGGGGAGAAAGGGGGGGGGAGAGAGGGGGGAGAAAGGGGGGGAAGAGGGTAGGGGGAGAGAGGGGGGAGAAAGGGGGAGGGGGGGTCAGAGGGGGGTAAGGACATTGTTTTTGTAGCTTTATTTTTTGTGATTTCGAAAACATATGGTTAAGCCATGTTGCTTGCGGGTAGCGTGGAGTTGGCCTGGTAACTTTAATCTAAATTGTCTTACGGTTGTTGTTGTTGTTTGACTTGCATCACACTGGGATTTTTGCACACAGCGTTTTGTTTTTTGGAAGATTTGCTAGTTTATCCCAGGATGTTTCTGTTGCGCGTCGTCGCTTTAAGATGTTTCTCTGTTCATATTTTGTTTGCTGCGGTTGCACCCGACTCAAGAGCCGCATGGCTCACATGGCTATATACCTAATACTGTAATACATGAAACTTGAAACTTGAAAGGCCGGATCCGTGAACGCCCGCGGGAGTTCACGAGATGTCCAACACCAAATGACGATTATCGGAACCGGTATTCCGGGCCGCCCCTAGGTCGACTCAGCATGAAACGAGTAGCTGGAAGTGGTGCGTGTAAATATATCGCCGCTCGGGGAGTCAAGGGCGACCGGGCGTGATGTATTGCCCACCCCCCCGTGTGCTGTTCCGGCCTTCTATAAGTGCGACTCACTAACAGCACTTGCCCAAATCGTGTGTTAAGGCGAGAGGGGTGGGGAGGGATCTTTGTCTTTGTTTGGATTGTTGTAAGGGTTAGCGCAAGTGGTTGGTGTATAGCTGTAATCGCTGCGCTCTCCGCAGTCAAGGTTTGAGAGAGGGGATGGTGCCTCACCGGGGATGACGGTGAGGACTCCGTTCTCGGCGTCGACGTCGTCCAGAGCCAGCCACATGGACGCCACGGGGCCTCCGTCCAGACCCCAGTACCTGGGGGCACGAGAGCGCGAGACGCAGGCAATGAGACGTTGTCTGCGATGGTGCATGAGGATCATCAGCACCACCATCAGTGACACTATAATGATGATGATGACAATTATGATGAATGAAAATGCGATGATTACCACCGAGTCTCAAGACATATTTTCAGTATTTTGCGAGTAATTAACAACAACAACAGTTTGAGGAGTTTGGACCATGAATTCAGCACATTGACCACTTCCTCCTCTATCCCATTTGCAGGAGTGCTCCATTGTCATAACGAACACGTTTACACCATTGGAACCTCATTTGCCAGTAAAAATATGATAATTGGTTTTTTACCTTTCGATTTAAAGCTTTCGTGACTGCAGGGATTCATCTTCTTGGTTCTTTCGGTAAAGTCACGTAGAAGGGAAGTAATAAAATAATAAAAATAAAACAGTTGAAGACGGCTGCTTGCGTTGTAGCCGAAACGTCGTGAGAATTATTTTATTATGTTTTATTTTTATTATTTTATTACTTCCCTTTTACGTGACATTACCGAAAGAACCAAGAAGATGGTGTTTTACCCTTCTATCTGGCAACAAAACTGACACCTTTTTACAAGGAGTCATGTTTGCATAGACCACAATACCTGCAGTCATAATGCAAACAAAAAACACAACTCTGATAATGTGCACTGTCCTTGAAGTTGATTGGTCCACACCCGAGACAGCTTTCCTTAGAGCCTAGTCTCACATGGGTTGGACCAGATGACGCCAAAAGGCGCACAACTCAAAGACAATGCACCATCAGAGTATGAGAGCTCGGGGTAAGCATTTACACCATTGGAACCTCATTTGCCAGTAAAAATATGATAATTTTTTTTTTTACCCTTCTATCTGGCAACATTATGACTGCAGGTATTGTGGTCTATGCAAACATGACTCCTTGTAAAAAGGTGTCAGTTTTGTTGTCAGATAGAAGGGTAAAAAAACAATTATCAACGAACACGTTGTTTAACTTACTCGTACACGTTGTTTACCGCACACAGCCCCACCCCTCAACCTCACCTGATATCCTGGTGCCAGGCCACGTAGGGAGCCGGCTTTCCCTCGCCCGCCACCTGGGCCACGGGGAACTTGCAGATGAATCGTGAGTCGAGCAGCACGACGTCTGGCCCCAGCAGGTCACGCATGACGCTCACCACGCGGGGATTAGCCGCGGCCTCCATCACCCAGGCTTGCTGCAGGTGGACGTTGTGGAGAGAGTATTGCGCTGCCTCCATGCCTGCGTACAGGTGAGGGACAAGGGTAGTGGGTGGGTTAGGAGGGGGGTGTGAGGCAGGTGACGACGAAGAGTGAGAGATTGGAGAGACTTTTTGACTTTTAAACAACTTTTATTGCCAGCAGCAACAGCACTGGAGGCGATTTCAATATGAAATACAGTCACCAGCAAACACATGGAAATTAACGCTACAAATCGACGCGCTGTGGCGCTAAAAGCACCGCGCACAATACAGAAGAAAAGTCACGTGCTTGTGGAGATTGGAGAGAAGGGTGAGGGAGTGAGTGTGGGGAGAGCGTTGGGGGAGATATGGAGTAGGAAGAGGGTGGGGGGTGAGGGAGATGTGAGTAAGCCGGTAAGACGCGAGGCAGGTGAGAATGAGATTTAAAGATGAGACGTAGGTGACCGTTTTGGTGAAGTATGATATTTAAAGAGCGACTAAGAGTGAGCGACACTTGGACTCGAGGTCTTGGGGGGGCTTGGTTCTTTGGGTAAAGTCACGTAGAATGGAAGTAATAAAATAATAAAAATTAAACATAATAAAATTATTCTCACTTGGTGAGAATTATTTTATTATGTTGGTGAGAATTATTTTATTATGTTATATTTTTATTATTTATTATTTCCCTTCTACGTGACTTTACCGAAAGAACCAAGAAGATGAATCCCTGCAGTCACGAAAGCTTTAAATCGAAATTTAATACAGCGGCAGTCTTATGGATGCACTGTGGAATCCCCCAAATGGTCGTTTGAGCACAGGCTGTCGCCGACCAAGGGTCTCGCACCACGCCAGTCACGGAACGAATCCGTGACATCTCGCACCAACGCGACCTCGACTCTCGTTCAATCCCCCGCGACGGCGCCCGTCACCCCGAGGTGCACTCCGGGGCGGGGAACTCGCCGAGCCTGGCAAGCGAGCTGAGCGGAATGGGTGGGTGGGGGTTTCCAGTGCGGAGCGCGTGGCGCGCCACTCACCGATCTCGGCCACGCAGGCGTCGTAGCCGGCCTGGAGAGCGCGCAGCTCCGCGTCGCTCAGCACGGACAGCGCCGTCACGTAGCCGTCGCGCTCGTACTGCGCGCCAAGCTCGCTCACGTGCTTCATGTCTGCCGCTGCTGCTGCTGCTGGTGATGCGAGTGCTGCTGCTTCTAGCGCTGCTGCTGCTAGTGCTTCTGCTTCTATTGCTGCTTCTATTGCTGCTGCTTCTATTGCTGCTGCTCGTGCTGCTGTTGCTTCTATTGCTGCTGCTGCTTCTATTGCTGCTGCTAGTGCTGCTACTAGTGCCGCTGCTACTGAAGCTGCTTCTAGTTCTGCTGCTGCTTCTGTTGCTGCTGCTAACTGATACTGCTCCTGCTGCTGCTGGTACTGCAAGTTGTCGGTTGTGCCGGTGGATCTGCTGCTGCTGCCTCTGGGTCTCTCTCCCGGCTGGTCTCTGACTCTCACTCAGCGAGGCGCGCTCCCTTTTATCTGCACCGGGACGAAAAAAAACGCACAATCACAACATGCAAGAATTTCCCAACTCTTGTGACGCGTCTACGACCCCCTAATCTTCTTCCTCCTCCTCCCCTCTTACTCCCTCACCCTGACGTGGGCGGAGCGGAAGCGGGGGAGGAGGGGGGTGCGTATGTTCGTGTATGTGTGTGCGTTGGTGTCTCCCATAGGTCGACTCAGCCTCAAATGAGTACCTGGTGCGGGTGTGTAAACATCGCCACCGGGGAGACAAAGGCGGCCGGGCGTGGTGTTGGCCACCCACCCCCTCGTGTGCCGTGCCGGGCTTTTATAGGTGCTCGCTAACGGCACTCGCCCCCTTAACAGTCTGTTAAGGCTATACGGGGGATCTGTGTATTTGTGTGTGTGGTTGTGTAGCGGTTAGCGCGCTGCGCTACGAACCTGGTGAACCCGAGTTCGATTCCCGCTACCGGTCAACACCGGTGATGATTATTTGAAACCGGTCCGAGGTCGACTCGTCCTCAAATGAGTACCTGGTGCGATGTGCAAACATCGCCACTGGGGAGACAAAGACGACCGGGGGGGGGGTGGTGTTGTTCAGGCTATACGGGGGGGGGAGGTCTTTTTATTTGCCTGTCTGTCGCTCCACGCAAAGATTTAATTATTTTCAGGCGCAGTCATGCCCTCCCCTCTGCTTGTGAAACGTGGACCCCCCTGTAATGGAACATCTGCGCCGGGTAGAAACCTTCAGGCTGGTCCTGCCTACGATCTAATCTGGGTTCAACGAGGCTGGATTGTCTGCGGAATACCTGCCCCAATCAATAGTCCATCAAAGGCTTCCCGGGGGATCTTTGTCTTGTTGATGCTTTGAGAGTCTATTACGAAAGTGAGAAGTGACATAACTGATCGTAAGAGTTGGTGTCACGAGACCATTCCAGTATTCCCAGAAAGCCCCATCGAGGGTTTAATTCAAGAACTCCCTCCCCCCCCAACTCGAGATCATTTGAAACGTTGGCATGGGAGGGGTGGTGGGGGGTAGAGGAATAATTATCGGCGTACGGCACTACCACTAAGAGGGCTAGTCGGTACGCCTATCCATAACAATAATTACGTAGCTATTATTTATTGTGCCATATATGTGAATTAATCCTATACGTGCTCCGAAGAATTAGTGTATCCAAAAGTGAGGACGAATTATGGGCGGAAAGTATGTGGCGTGTCTTGTCAGTAGCGAGCGATTTGTCAATCCATCCTGAGTGCTTCCCCCCCCCCCAAATGTTCACTAATTCACATATGATCAGCCGTGGTGAAGTATGGTCAACACCCCCCCTCCCACCCACATTACCGAACACGGCGTAGGGCAGGGATTCATCCAGCAGTGGATTAACAAAGACATTGACGATAGTTCTGGGGATGCCTCAATAATTAATTCATCGTTGAATTCATTCATTGATTCGTTCGTTTTCACCGCTGATTTTGCTTCTTGGAGGCGGAGGAAACTGCGGGTGAGCGGGAATCGACCACAGGGTCGCCTTCATCTGGAGCGACAGACACACAAAGACACAGATCCCCCGCGTAGCCTTAACAAACTGTCGGGGCAAGTGCTGTTAGCGAGCACATTTGAAGGCTGGAACGGGGCGCACGAGGGGGTGGGTGACATTGTTCGAAGAACAAATGTGACCTAAGGTCTTCGCTCATTTACCAGCGTCACATCCCTTATTGCTGTACAAATACTGGAGGAAGGGCCTTTTCTATTGATGCCCCCAGGGTCTGGAATGCTATCGCCAATAAACTGCAACTTGGATCACTACCTGTGAGATATTCACTCAAAACTGCTCTAGAGGAGTTGTACACACCTAGTTGCCACTGCTATTCAGAATAGTCTGACATCAAATGTATCATTCCGGATGACCGCTGAAAAGTATGATTTTCAGTTTTGATTGTGGTGTACTGATCTTTAAAAGTGTATTGGAAATGTTTATTCTGCTACTGATGCTCCTGCTGTTATGGAGTGACTCATGCAGCCAGCTGTGGCTGCGAGGTTTGGTCGTACATGTTATGTATATCGTTTGTTGTTGGATTTGAATCACAGTTCCTATGATCACTGTTACATTGTTTTTGTGGCTTTATTTTGGTGATTTTGAGGACAGGTTGGTCTGGCAATGTTTGTTTGTTGTGGTACAGAGTTGGCCTGATAACTTTAATCTACATTGTCTTGTAGTTGTTATTGTTTGACTTGCATCCCACTGGGATTTTTGCACACAGCGTTGAAATGCGGTGTTTTTTTCTGGAAGACTTTGCTGTTTTTTACATGATTTTTCTGTTGCGTGTAGTCACTTTAAGATGTTTCTTGTTCATGTGGCCAGGTCTTCACCTGAGGACGGCTGCTTGTGTTGTGGCCGAAACGTCGTGAGAATTATTTCATTATGTTTCATTTTTATTATTTTATTACCTCCCTTCTACGTGACTTTACCGACAGAACCAAGAAGATGAATCCCTGCAGTCACGAAAGCTTTAAATCGAAATGTAATGGGAGCCTTGGCCAGGGATCGAACAAGGATGTCACCTGCAGATGGCGCACCTCCTCCACCGAAAATTGATTTGACATCGCCCCCAGACGAGACGCTCAGCACATTCGTCGATAACAACGCCGTGGACTGAAATGAAGACGAAGAAAAAAGTAACCATAGCCCGACGTTTCGGGCTATGGTTACTTCTTCGTTGCACATAGAATCACCAAGAGTGGAGCGGTTGGTTGCATTGGTTATGGGCGCACTCTGCTATGAGCCTGGCGACCTGAGTTCTATTTCAGACCACGGCTGCCATCAGTGGCGGGCGATACGTTCACCCCTCTTGGGTGCCTCGCCCCTTTCAATGTTCATGTTCACTCATTCACGTTGATCAGCCGTGGTGAAGTATGGCCAACACCCCCCCACCCCAATACCCCCAAGCAGTGGATTAGTCTTGATCTCGTTCAACATTGTTGATAGAGTACAGGTTCCCAGCCCTTTGTGTGGGAGAAGATGCGCTCAACGTTGTCTGTGTACGCAATACACAAACAACGCAATACACAAACAACACAATACACAAACAACACAATACACACACAATACACAAACAATACAATACACAAACAACACAATACACAAACAACGCAATACACAAACAATACACAAACAACACAGTACACAAAAATACACAAACAACACAGTACACAAACAGCACAAAACACAAACAACACAGTACACAAAAATACACAAACAACACAATACACAAACAGCACAAAACACAAACAACACAGTACACAAAAATACACAAACAACACAATACACAAACAGCACAAAATACAAACAACACAGTACACAAAAATACACAAACAACACAATACACAAACAGCACAAAACACAAACAACACAGTACACAAAAATACACAAACAACACAATACACAAACAGCACAATACACAAACAACACAGGACGCAAACAACAGAGTACACAAACAATACACAAACGACACAATACACAAACAGCACAATACACAAACAACACAGGACGCAAACAACAGAGTACACAAGCAATACACAAAAACACAATACACAAACAGCACAAAACACAAACAACACAGTACACAAAAATACACAAACAACACAGTACACAAACAGCACAAAACACAAACAACACAGTACACAAAAATACACAAACAACACAATACACAAACAGCACAAAACACAAACAACACAGTACACAAAAATACACAAACAACACAGTACACAAACAGCACAAAACACAAACAACACAGTACACAAAATACACAAACAACACAATACACAAACAGCACAAAACACAAACAACACAGTACACAAAAATACACAAACAACACAATACACAAACAGCACAAAACACAAACAACACAGTACACAAAAATACACAAACAACACAATACACAAACAGCACAAAACACAAACAACACAGTACACAAAAATACACAAACAACACAATACACAAACAGCACAAAACACAAACAACACAGGACGCAAACAACAGAGTACACAAACAATACACAAACAACACAATACACAAACAGCACAATACACAAACAACACAGGACGCAAACAACAGAGTACACAAACAATACACAAAAAACACAATACACAAACAGCACAAAACACAAACAACACAGTACACAAAAATACACAAACAACACAGTACACAAACAGCACAAAACACAAACAACACAGTACACAAAAACACACAAACAACACAATACACAAACAGCACAAAACACAAACAACACAGTACACAAAAATACACAAACAACACAATACACAAACAGCACAAAACACAAACAACACAGTACATAAAAATACACAAACAACACAGTACACAAAAATACACAAACAACACAGTACACAAAAATACACAAACAACACAGTACACAAAAACACAAACAACACAGTACACAAAAATACACAAACAACACAGTACACAAAAATACACAAACAACACAGTACATAAACATACACAAACAACACAGTACACAAAATACACAAACAACACAGTACACAAACAACACAGTACACAAAAATACACAAACAACACAGTGCACAAAAATACACAAACAACACAGTACACAAAAATACACAAACAACACAGTACACAAACATACACAAACAACACAGTACACAAACATACACAAACAACACAGTACACAAACATACACAAACAACACAGTACACAAACATACACAAACAACACAGTACACAAAAATACACAAACAACACAGTACATAACCATACACAAACAACACAGTACACAAACATACACAAACAACACAGTACACAAACATACACAAACAACACAGTACACAAACATACACAAACAACACAGTACACAAACATACACAAACAACACAGTACACAAACATACACAAACAACACAGTACACAAAAATACACAAACAACACAGTACACAAACATACACAAACAACACAGTAC